CTAGAGTATCCTTAGTAGGCTACGCCTAGTACTCTATATATAAATCCTTATTCCTTACTACTAAATTAGATAAATAGATAGCTAGGACTGCTAAAGTATAATATAGACTTAGTATAATAGCTAATATTAGTATAGTAATACTTAATTCTCTTATAGGCCTAGTTACTTTCTAGGTTATACTAGAAGACGTTAATATACCCTTTATTATATATATTAATAACCTAGATAAATTAAAAGTCTTATATAATAACTTAACTGAATATATTACTATTAATACTTAGCTAGAACTCCCTAGGATTATCCTATCTTAACGACTAAATAGCTATCTGTTTATATAGTAGGGTATAGATAAGAACCTTAAACGCTCTTTTAATAGAAAATACTATTAGAACCTATTTGTAACGAATACTCAAACTGGCTAACTAAACTTGGCTGGGTGTTCGCTGGTTGGTATGCTATGATAAGAAGAAGACTATCGGGTTGTTCACTTGGAAGTGAACTCGTTACTTGTATCAAAGATGTCAAACTAATATGATAAGATTGATAACTAAGTTGAGCACGAAGCTCCTATCTGAATGGCAGACGTGCCAGTCTTATATAGAACCTTCGTTCTCAGAATACTACTACTAAGGAATGTTGGTCGACAACCAACTCTGTCGACTATCACGTGACCAACATGTTGGTAAAGGTATACATCCATATACTGACGTGCCAGTCTTATATAGAACCTTCGTTCTCAGAATACTACTACTAAGGAATGTTGGTCGACAACCAACTCTGTCGACTATCACGTGACCAACATGTTGGTAAAGGTATACATCCATATACATTATCCAACCAATTAACGGCTCCTGCTTACATAAGAAAACTCCCTTTGGTTTCCCAGAACACATAAAGCTCCCAGGCCCATATGTGCTCGGCTTGTCATGACGCCGTCTGGTCTTCACTTGTCACGTGTGCACGTGATTCGTGACACTATTATTAGAACTAGACCTAATATATCTCTATTAATAGTTCGGCTACCCTTCTATCTACTAGCTCTATAATATACTATAGTAAGCCGGCTATAATAATATCTCCTACTAGGTAACTAAGGCCTCAATATAGCATTATAAAGAGTACTAGATAAATATAAAATTACTAGGTAGATTTAAGTTTATAATTTATAATAAATTTAAATTTAACTTTAATATATACTTCAATATCTTTTATATTAATAATAAACTTATAAGCTACTTAGTTAATAAAGCTACGAGTTATTAGAGTAGTAATTAGCTAAGTAATATCTCTACTAAAATAGTATAGGAACTAATACTATAAGAATAGATTTATATATACTTTAGTCTACTAGATATAATTATAATAAACTAAGGGATATAATTAGTAAGTAGAGAATTCTACTTACTTATAAAGACTATAGATATTAATATTAAACTTATCTCTATTAAGGCTTATAACTTAATTAGAAAGGTAGAAAGATACTACTATACTATTTACTAAGTATATAAGATAATATTTCTAGAAGCTCTAATAATTAAATACTAAATAAGATTAAAGATAGTCTTTAAAGCTATTAATAATACTATAGGACCTAATAGCCTTATCCTAACTCTACTAGTATATAGAGCGTATACTCGGGTAAGGTATAATAACCCTCTAGCTATAGATATAGTTTATAGGGTAAGTTACTTATATAGTAAAAAGTAATAAAGGAGGTTTATTAATATTACGCTAAATACTAAATTAAGACTATACTTGGTAGTATGAATAGGCCTATTACCTACTATTTAAAGGACTTACTACTAAACTATATAGTACGCGTCTACTATAAAAAGGATAACTAGTAAGGCCTATACCCTCTTATTAGACTTAAAGGAGAAATAGTATTTATAAAAGTTAGTTAGTTAAGGGAAACCCCTTTTCGATCTATATAAGTAAAGCTATACTATAAGGAAATTATAGACCTAGAGGATACTATACCTATAGAGTAAATTAATAAGATAAGACTATAAACCTACTAGGTATAACCTAGTAATAGCCGAAAGCTAAGATTATTAGAAGTAATAAACCTAAACTCTTAGCTATAAAAGAATAACTTTACTAAAAATATACTATAGAATATAGAAAACGTACTAAAACCTATACCTTCTAATATATAAACTATAGCCCTAACTACTCTACTTAGAAGTAAACTATAGTACCTACTTAAAAAAGGCTATAGATAACCTAGGAAATAGCTACTTATAGGAACTCTAGTAACCCTTAAAAGTACTACTTTATTCTCTAAGGATCTTAAAGAAATATAAGGTTTTAAAGAGCTAAACTCCTTTCATCTTATTAACTTATTAGAAGTTCCTAGAGATATAATATTATTTAACTCTAAGTTTATTTAAGATACTAGAGACCTAGGAACTATAAAGGAATAAAGGAAGTCTTATTTTATAATCTAAGCTTAGAGAGATAAGGAAAAGGAGCTTATTATAACTAAATCGCTAATAATCTAATAAGTTAGTTATAGGATCCTACTTTATATAGTAGCTATACTATAACTTTAAATCTACAGTTATAATAATATATAAGTATATATATATACTAGAGAGAAACTAGTAAGATAATTCTTTATAAGACTGAAGAACACTCCTATTTGTGACAGACGTGCTTCAGGTAGAACTCAGAACAATTAACACTCTATTCTTAGGACAAAAGACGAGGAAAGAAGGAGAGCTCTAGTGAGCTGGGAACTAAATACAGGTCGTGCGCGCTAGCGCCTCGCTAAGCGAGCATGTGACATCCAGCCCTCGTGACCATAACCGTCACACTATTCTATAATCGTAGAGTAAAATCCTAGAGGTAATATAGCCCTAGTATAATATACTAGAGGTAGGTACTTTCTAGTATAATTACTACTAAAAGTACTACTTAAGTAACCTTAGTATAAACCTATTAACTTTTAATTAATACTTATTTTATACTAACGAATTAAGTATAATAGAAGCCTTTAGAGTAATATGACTCTAAATAGACAACTCCTTAATACTTATAAATAAGATATTTACTACTAGAGAAGAAGAAAACTTTACTAATATAAAGCTAGAACTTAAGTTAAAACCTAGGAAAACTCTTAGTACTAAGGAACTAATAGACTTTAATAGTAGTAGTATTATACTATAAAATAATAGCTTAATATTAATAACCTAGAAATATAAGACTGAGGAATAACTAATCCTAGCTAAAACTCTGGTAGACTATAAAGGAATTAGAGTACTAGCCGCCTATATCTTAGGAGTCTACTAGCTAGAGGTTAGCTTTAATCTATCCTTTACTACCTAGGTAAGTAGTCTAATACCTATAGATATCTAGACCCTTAATAAGAGAGTTAAGTAGTAATAAGCTAATTAGTATTAAGGGATTAACTTTATTCTACTTAAATAATCTTTATTTAAACTTATCTACTTTATAGATAGATTATTTATAAATAACTCGGACTATACCTCCTAGCTAGGTTTAGTCCTAGTTCTTATAGACTATTATAACAAAGTAAATATTTTATACTAGTCCTTAATAAAGTTTAAGAGAGTTACCTAGAGCGTCCTAGCCTTAGAACTCTATACTATTAACTAGGGATACAATATAGCTATTTATATAAAGACTATCTTATCCTAAATCCTTAATTAACCTATACTACTTAAAGTCTATATAAACTCGAAATCGATATATAATTACCTTATTAAACTTAGTATAACTAAGTAGAAGAGATTAATAATTAATATGATATATTTATATAACGAATTTAAAACTAAGGATATCGACTATCTAATATAGATTAAAGGTAAGAACAACCCTACTAACGCTATAATAAAATTAAAGGCAAGTAGCGCTTTAAAGAACTTAATTAATATAAATATAATTAAAATATAAGCGAACTCTTAGGTAGAAAGAAGCTAGCTAATACTATAGAAGTTATAGATATCGTTTTATTGTTTTATTATTTTATTACTTTATAAAGAACCGCTAGTATTATAATATATTCTACTCCTTTAGTCACGTTATTTTAGACCTACCTTGTTCGAGTACTTAATACTCGAACTCCTATACTCACTTAGCTCCTTAATAATCGAATAACGGATATAACCACCTATTGCTTGTTTAATCCTGTTAAATTCCCTCTAGGAATTCGACAGATATCTCTATACTAACAATTACCGATGTTTTTTTTATTCTAAGAACTTGTAGGAGGGTTTCAACTTTGAAATTGTGATATGAGCTTATAGTAGAGGTTCTTTGTTGCTAAAAGGGGTTTGAGGTAAGTGTTTATCATCACAACGATCCGGACGACTTATTCATCGAATCGTTATATTTAAAACACGAAATCTTTCGCATCAATCCCCTACCTATCATTCCCAGCTCACGTACAGATTCCAATTTTTCCATTGTGAATCCCAGTTAGTTACTTACTTACGGATAAACATACCCCGTGAAAGAAAACAGGCGGAAGGACATGTACTGTACTGTACCATCTAATCAACCCCTCCACTAACCTCAAGTATTCTATCACGAGTGACAGACACCAGTACTAGCCATTCCCTTCTCCACACCACAAAGCACAGTACACAACGGCGATCGCAATAAACAATCGTACCCAGACAACTTTACTCAAAACAAAAAAATGACCTTCCTTTCACTCTTCCCACTGCCCCATCCTCAGAAAGCGAACAGGAAAAAAAGCAAGTTTTCATTCCCGTCAAGACACTATTCACAACTCAAATTATCTCCTATCCTCCATCCCTAAAACCATGTCATTCATCCCTATTCTCCTACTCCCATTATCCCTCTGGATAACAACAATATCAAGCTACGGGTTATTCTTCCAACCCTCCGGGATAATCACCAGGGTACATTCCTCCATTCCTCCATTCCTTCTTCCTTTCACAAGGACAGGAACAGAAACATAAGAAGATGGAGCTCTACTAACACAACGGTCAAAATAGTTAGAAACAACAATGATCATCCCACAAGTCCCCTCACGGGGAGGGATTCATTACATCTGGCCCGGTCTACAGCCTGATTCGAATAACTTCGTTTTCCAAGATGTTAGTGGTGACGAGGCGGTCTCGGGGGCGTGGACGTTTGCTGAGTGGATGGTTGCTGGGAGGTATGTCAAACTTTTTGTTGTGGTGCGGCTCGGTTTAGGTTGGGAAGATGATTGACGATTTCCATACATAGTGGCGACTACAACAAAACAAAAGACGTCCTCGGTAAGTCATCAATCAAAGAATACGCGTCAATTTGTAATCGTATAAGTCAACAGACTTCTGATTGAATGATTAACGCAGTATATCCCGGCGATTCAATCGCCATCTGTTTCGCGCTGAATCCCAAGACGGGACGGTGGTTAGATCGATGGGAGACTTCGCCAGGGGCTATTGGGAGAGCAGCTGGGTCGATGTATTCCATTAGTGATGTGATACCACCACAGGAGCAGACCAGTACGTTACGTCTCTCTTTCTTTCCTTCTTCCTTTTTCTGGAGGTTCATGCATGATCTCGAAAACGAGGCTGATGAGATTCAATACTTGTAGATGCATTCGGAAAATTAACCCAAGTAAGCCATCCGCCTCCCTTACAATACTGCTATAATATACTAAGCGATGTACCAACCAAGGCACTCTTCGTCATCGAACTCGTCGCCGGCGCGACGTGGAACTTTGGACCGGTGACATTTAGCAAGATCAAGATCGTGGCGGAGACGACAACCACAGAATGGTGCTCCAGGTACAGTAGACCATCCAGCTAGAAATGGTCTTCGAAAGAAAGCGGCTCTGATCTTTGGCTGACTGACACCACGTGTACAGTCCAGGTCAACAGGCAGCTTTTCGTTTCACGATCGCGAATCCGGTTGCACGTGTGAATGGGAATACGACGGTGTGTACAATTGATAGCCTGGTGTTTCTGGAGCCGGCTTGAAGAGCTGTTGTACAGTACAAGTAATTGGGGTGCACGAAATGAAATGGCTTTGTGCATTTTTGAGAGCATACGGTAGCGAGATGATGGAGGCACGTGGTAAAGATTCAATAATTGCCATTATACTTCAGTACAGTATCAAGTGGCCAAAGTTTGGATATGGACGCGAAGAGAGATCTACCAAATTGACACCAGCGTTCATCCCGTTACAGAACTCAATAGAAGATTTCGTGGCTGGAGATGAACTTTGATAACCAGTGCTAAAAGATGGCATGAACATGCAAGGCTTGATGACGAACAGGAAAAACTCAAAACGATGCGAGAAATGTTACTTTATACGTACACTACTTCGCAGTACAAACTGACTGACTCGGCCCGAACGACAGCTTTGACGTGATCTACAAATATGAAGTCCTTTTCAGTCCGGTAACTTGGAGAAGCAGCTGAGCTGATATCTGTTACTCTGAACTAGAAAAAGGGGAGCTCTGGTTCAAAGACAGGAAGCAATAATCACCCTTCCTCAAATTTGGTTCCAGATGTCACCATCAAATTCAAGAACATGGCCTATGCGCGATTGTGGAACATGGGTGCATTCAAGCATGTTTTTGAGGGATTTGACTCGCGGATTTAAGCTTTGGAGGAATCAAAACGTGATGAATTCACACATCGTGATGACTCCTCCTATAATGCTTTACACTTTGGCTATAATGCTTGACAGCTAAACCCGTTTAGGAAGAAGGGGCGTTCAGCGACTCCGAGTGACTCAGCATTTCAACTTTAGCCATGTTTTAGGTGTAATTAGGGAACGCGTGTACATAGGCATAGGTACCTCGCGACATTTCAGGGCAATATAAGAAGCTATTCACATCTACCCTCACTGTCGCAACCTTACTGTTGCACCCTTACTGTGCCCTCGCACTCTTTTAGTTCGCATTCCGCGGGTTAGAGTTAGGGTTAGGGCTACAGGTTAGGGTTAGTGGAATATGAACCTCACTGTTGCGTCACGTCTTACCTAGGTGTGTACTTTGATAAGGCTACTTGGTGTTTTTTTAGCACTTCGTGGCGCGGGTACCCACTTCCCTTATTTGGTTAGCTGTAAATCATTATAGCCAAAGTGTAAAGCATTATAGGAGGACTCATCGTGATTCGGAAGTGGGATGAGCCGCATATCGAATGTAACCCTAACGATCACAGCGCTTAGCGAGATATTCTGAAATCTACACTTCTTGGCGTAGACGCAAGCACAATGATTCAAAAAATGGCATGGGAAACTCAAAAATCCAGAGGATTGTTGACCGCTTTCCGTGGACCCGCTATGAGCGGAACCAACACAGTGAGGACTTGTCTCCGCAGGTGAAAAGCATGCCGCAATTTGCACATGCCGCTTGATGCTCTCCCGTTCGATATTCTTCCGCCTGGCACCTGCTGCTCTTACCCCTCCACTCGTCATCTGCATAAGGCGGGGTTAATGGAGTTTCTCCGTCGTGATTCGGATATTACCGCCATCGGCAATCGTGATGGGGGAGGGAGAGAAATCTGGTGGCAGATGGAAGAACTGATGAGAGAGAAGATTATGGTATGGTAGAGTATGGTGACCGAAGAGAAATCTGAGTGTTCAACGTTTCTCAACTTAACTGTCAAACCTACATGAGGGAAAGTTGTGCGAGTGTGTGTCTGTCGTGGTGGACTTGAGGGACCACAGCCTCGTTGCACGGTTTGATGAAGCTGCTGTAGCTTTGTGATCAAGGTGCAGCTTTCCTGCATGCGGGTGTCTATTTGTGACAATTCGCAACGTCATAAACTCAGGAAGGTTTCCGAGCCTTCCAACTCCCCCAAGTCTGTTGAATTGAAGCAGGAGAAGATATCACGACATGTTCAACAACTCAACCGTATCGAAGCCATATCACCGAAAACTCAATTGCAAGGAATCCGGCAGACTTCCCTCATCTTGGTCATACACACTAGACCACAGGTTGAGGCGAACGCGTGGATCGAGGTCCTCAATTGGTGGTGTTGGTCATGACACGACAAACATTCGTGGGATGCAGCAGGCACTTTGCACCTCGAGGCTCACCAATGAGCATCCGCAGCGCCCGCACTTGGTCCTGTTGCCTGCATCAAGCAATATTGCGATACCTCGCGGGAGAGAGCTTTGCACCCGTAAGTCCGTAGCATGCAGTATAGTTGAAGTACCTCCGTACGAGTCCGGAGGTCGTGAGGGCAGAAGCGTTGGAGTTGTCGAACCGTGAGAGGCAACGATGAACGCATCTGCGTCGAGAGTTCCCAGCATCTGGCTCAACCTTGAACTGTCTCGACCGGCGCAGTGGAAGCTTTCTGGGAAATGGGTAAGATCGCCACATGTGCCGGGAGCACCAAGGGACTTGCGTCCGTTTCGGGAACCCAGAGGCTCGAAGGTTCCCGGGCCGTTTCAAGGCTCGAGAGCGCGAGATGCCGAATGCAGAAAAAGTCTAAACAAATGAAAGTGGCCAGGAGCGACGGGGATGTGCAAGAAAAGATTCAACAGAAGTTGGCACCGGCGGGGAATTGGCTTCTTCTACGAACCTTCTTTCTCGCTCCATTTCCGAAGCCCCTGTTTGCACGTTTCCCCCTCTTCGTCTCGCTTGATTTCGTTGGTTGAGCTTTGCCGAGCGACGCCCCATTCAGCACTCAGCACTCCGCACTCCTCACCCACCACTGGAACTCATCACATTAAATTGGATATTTCGCTGCAACGGTGATTGTCGCTGCAGTGCAGTGCACTGATTGCTGCTGCACGGCTGAGCTGCGCTTCGTGCGGTCAACTCATCCTGCTTGGCGCCCTCTGCTCTGCCTCGTCGTTACACTTGCTCCTCTACTCGGCTGCCTCCCCTCTCAGCGTGTCGACGTGGAGGCCATGTCATGCAACTTCTTCCGTCACCACCACCGGAGGCATATTGGGTGATGTTGATTGGTCTCGAAATGGGTCTTGGCTCGCACGCTGCGCAGCCGCAACAAGCCTGTTCGTAGTCACGGCTTTTTTAAACTTCCAACCACGATCCCAGTTCGGTCATGATCCTGCAGGCCCGCCTTTTCGCTCGTCGTGATAAGCCCGTTCAAGAAAGCGAGATGGGACAACGCATCAGTGTCTCATTCTGCCCCTCCGCAAGGCCTGCTCACGAATCCAACATAAGTCAAGCCATCCCCACCTCCTTCTCCCTTCCCTTCTTCCTTCCAATCCATTCCCTCTCCATATCTCTCCCCCATATGCATCGCTTGTCCTGATTACGCAGAAATCTGCTTGCCCATCCCACATTCGCATTCTTGTCTATCATCAACAACCCAAGCCCTAATAGGAATTACAACGACTCTAACTTGCATCTTTATTCTCACCCATTTTGTCTGGCCACACCGTTGGCGGTCGTCGACATAAACACCATCACAATCCAGGCTTTCGAACCAAGAGGAGACTTCCATTTCTGATAAGGAGCCTTTTTGTCCCCATGACTTGTCTTACCCAAACGGTGACCATTCCGGGCACCATGGCATTCGAAGCACCAAAACACACCATCATCAGGACCAGAGGAGCCGTCAGGTATATTCTTTTTTCTTCATGCTTGTTCTATTGATTCTGCGTTTATACCAATGTTGTCCGAAATAAATGTCTTTTCCTTTTGCTTCAAGACCTCACACGGATTTCGACATGTCCCAGGTTCTCATCGCTCCCATGGAATCATTTCAGTCACGTCCGGATACTTGTCGCCTATCTCTTCCACAGAGCTTCTCATGAGTGGTTCTACCACTTTTGACCAAGATCTAAATTTGATCATCCAAACAAGGGGAGCCCCCCAGGACAGGCAAAACAGTGCCTGCGTAAGTATTGCCCAATACCCCACGCGACCCGTCGTGGTTGCTCTCCAGGACATATTCTCCAGTTCCAGATGGTCTCCATGGATATTGAAACATGCCGTTTCCCGGATGTTCTCCCAGTGGTTCAGGGTATTCCTTAACTCGATCATGTCTGCTTTAATTCCTTTCGACACCTCCACGGATCATGCACAAAATTGTAGCACCTGCTAGCAACAACAATACCAATGAGTTCGCCATGTCAATCCAGTCCATAGAAAGGTTGCTTTCCAGCAGACTTTTCTTAGCAACTTTACCACGTCGATGCAACTACAACCTTTTCCAATGGACTTCTGTTCTACCAATGCTCTCCAAGAGCAAACCAGAGGATTCTTGAGGACATTGCCGTGGACATTCCAAAGGACTCGTACCATTGAAACTCCATTGAGGCGACAGTTCAATAAACATTGAACTTGAGACCGTTGCCGCCCGGCGACTGGATGGTCTCACTATAGGCATTTATTCGTGCCATTGAGTACGTACACCTGCTCAGCGTTGATATCAGTATCTCGCATGCTACCCCGTCAGCGTCCTATCATGCACTAACCAGCGCTTCTTTTGCCTTGCGTGTAGAATACCTTTCATTCAGAACCTAGAATTTCTTGTCAACACTTAGCATGCACACATCACCTTGGTACCATATGGACCGTGGGACTTTCTTTCTTATTTTGTCGAACCATTTCTTGGACTGGATTTTTAACCTGGAGTTCATCTGGATCAAGTACACCATTTGCTCCCTGCTGGTCTGTAAATCCATTTCAACCCCCCAAGATGCCGTCCAACATGCTGACACATGCTACTTACAGGCTACCCATTGGATTTCTTTTCTTTTATCTCTTTTGTCTCACGATTGTTTGCATTTAAAAACGAAGTGGTTGCACAGGACACTAATATAGAACGTGTAGCGGTTTCAGTTCCCAAAATGTGTCCGGATTTCCTTTTCATTCTACAGAACCTATCCCAGGGCAAAACAGTGGATCCATTCTGAGTGTTGGAGGTCCACAGTACTGGCAACAAGACTCTTTAATCCAAGGAAATGCCCACGGATTTGTTGATACATACGACCACTTTCCGGTTTCTCAAGAAACTCGCCCCATCAAAGGCAGAGTTTCTACATCAGGATCCATCCACAGCCAGTGGGATGATGAGGCTGTCAAGACTAAATTTGAGTCACAAGACATGCCACCACAGGACTCCACAAGAAACCAAGGACAATCCCATAGGAACACTCACTCTGCAGCTAACACATTTGATCAACCCCAATCGAGGATGTATCCCGTCCCATCCCATGGATCATTTCATTTTTCATCAGCAAAGTCAGATATCACAGCCAGGTCAAACAGTCCTGATGCAGCCGCCTTGTTGGCATCAAGCCAATTGGAAGCATTCGACTACAACACTTTCCTTGGAGATGATATGACCAGTGCTCAATCCATGTTCCAGAGGAATTCCAATGCCGGGGGAGAGGAAGAACTAATTAATCTTTCCATGCCAGGACCATCTTTCAGCGCATATGCCACAGCTGGAGAAGAGTCCTTCGCGTCATCTTACCCTGTAGTCTCCGAGTCTTTGATGTACCCCTCGTTTGCACATGGTTTGCCATGGGATAATTCTGCCGTTGTGGAATTATTGGAGCCCCAGAGATTGTCTCCCACACTTTCGGAAGGTGCATGGTCCAACAGCCAACACTCCAACTCCCCCACAACAAACAGCCCTCAGGAATACTTGTCACCCCATGTTGAGGTCATCTCCCCCAGGTATGTTGAGGATACCCAAGATTTGGTGCAACACCCCCCTTACGCATCTGGTGACAGGACGACGAGGAAGCCAATGGGACCACGCCTATCTAAAGTTGTAAGCGATCTTGCTACTCATGGCAGACAGCAACGTCACTCTGGTTCTTTTGAGCAATCCGAGGATTCCTTGAAACTGGCTACCCGATCTGCCAATGAGGATAATACCGCCCGGGATCATCCATTGTACCACAGTGTCACCACCCACGCTGATGGATTCTACCATTGCCCATGGGAAGGTCAAGCCGCATGCCAGCACAAGCCAGAGAAGCTAAAGTGCAACTATGAGTATGAACTGATCTCTTTTTCCTAACCTTCGAATACCTACTAATCTCGAATATAGCAAATTCGTCGACTCCCACCTCAAGCCTTACCGCTGCAAGGTAGCTGCTTGCGAGAGTCTCCATTTCTCATCCACAGCTTGTCTACTCCGCCACGAGCGTGAAGCTCATGCTATGCACGGACATGGAGACAAGCCTTTCCACTGCACCTTTGAAGGTTGTGAGCGTTCCGCTCCAGGTAACGGCTTCCCACGCCACTGGAACCTCAGAGACCACATGAAGCGAGTTCACAACAATGCTCCTACATCACCTCCACCATCCGGGAAGAACAAGCGCAAGGCAACTGATGCTGCTGAGAACCCCATGGAGAAGGCCCCAAGACGTGCCAACTCCCCAAGAACCGTTGTCCAGGTTCAGGCGCCAAAGGAGCCCAACTGGGCTGAGCAGTACCAGCAGGAGTACCAAAAGCTTGTCTCTATGGTTGAGCAGCTTCGTGATCCAGCTTATCCACAGAACATGGATATCCTCAACAGATCGATGCGATCTATTGCCTCTTTGCAACACAAGAGTAAACTTATTAACCAGGCTTCCATGGGCGGGAAGTCTTTTATCCAGCAATCTGGCTGAATGAACCTTTTATATTATTGAGACTGTGAGTACCATCTATGGACCAGAACTCCCCACATCAACGATGCTAATGAATGATCAGGATACAAAATTATACCCTAACCCTGGAGATTTCACAACTCCTGGAGATACCTGGAATCCGAATATTCAGAGGCCGAAGAACATCACCACCTCAGAGGACGAAGTCGTTTCCAGTACGCGCTGCCGTTTCTCAGAGAGATACCTGGAGTATATAAATCGACAGGAACCGTCATGCTACCAGTCATGCAAAATAAAAGACTGCAACCTTTACGAACCAGGGATATATACCACCAGGAGCCATGGGGGTCTACTGAGATACAGTACATGCTCCGGACTTGATCTTGAGTTTTGGTCACATATGTGCGTGCGCGTGTGTATCCACGGATGCCCACGGATATTGCTGCGCTTGTGGAGTCTTGTCGTGTTGATTCCCGGTGATGATAGGAAGAGGAGAAGAAGAGGATTTTTGGGAGCAAATTAGAGGAGGATTTTTTTATTTTTTTTGGTTTACTTTGGTCGTTTCTTTTGTCTTTTGCTATATCGTATCTAGATTGTCGTGTTTCTTCACTTTGTTTGTCATGGTGGCTGAGTTCGTGGAACTCGGGGGAAAGAAGAAGAAGGGATATAGAGGGATGGGAAGAGAGAGAGAGAGGTGGTTTAGATCTTGAGGGAATATAGATTGTCTTGTTATTATTATCGTGAAATGTATTGATTCGACTTTTCTGGGGTTTGTGCGTGTTGTGTGTGATGTGACTACCTCGATGTGAAAATCTGAAGGGATGAAGGGACTGTGTGTGAATTGATGTTTGAGAGGGAGGTGGGAGTAGGAGTATGTGTACTGTAGCATCTCTTTCGCGATGCTGTAGTGTCAGTACTTGGAGATTAGAGCTCTTCTCTCTTCAATGAGTCTAATCCATCGAAGGGACTAGGTTCGGAAACTGGGCGCAGACTCGAAAGCTGGGCGCATGTACTGAAGGAGCGCGGGAATGGATATCTTAGTCTCAATAATACTCTTACTCTTACCCCTTTGTAATACTCGCGAACGGGCTAAAAACCTTACTGTACAGTACAGATACCGTAGGTACGAAAGGAAGGAAGCAGAAACAGATTCAGCCACAACCTTCTTTCTCTCGCGTGATAGAACGTATCTGCTATACGTTAAGCTTTCCTGTAGGTATGTTCGTGGAGCCATGGGATCCGGCCGCACTGCTTTCTTGAGGTTGATGGGAGCCCTCCGCCCCAATTCCGGGTTTTGGGGGTGTTTTTTTTTNTTTTTTTTTTTTTTTTTTTGGAAGTGTTTGATAGTGTTTGATGGTGTTCTTGGGGTTATGGGGTTTGTGATTTTGTGGTTTGTGGTTTTGTGGTTTGTGATGATAATAGGAGTGGAGGAGGGGGAGGGGGGTGAAGTCCTCATTGGGAGAGGCGTGAGTTTGTGTGTATGTGTATGTTACTGTAGGGGTGTAGGAATGTAGGGAGTAGATATATGCTAACTGAAAATGAAAGGAAAGGGCGAAGTTTATTGTGATTAGGTGGATGGTGTGAGAGGCCAGACCTCGAATAGCTCAAAGGTGTGGTTTCGAATATTCAATTAAGAAGTGCGTGAAGACTACATACATGCAATCTCTTCCTCTATATATAGAGGGAGGAAGAGTTTCTGGAGTCTTCCAAGAAACTGTTTGACAAATACGTGACGTCAAAAGAATAGAGTAGAAAAGTGTAGAGAAGGAGAAACCAATTTAGCAGTGGAGCAATGGCCAATGCTGAGCGGGGACTTTGGTCAGTGCTTAGCGAGGGCATGGCCCGAGCCTCCATCATGGGTTCCAACCCTCACAGATGGAGATGGAGATGGGTATTAGATGTGGACTGTGTGCTAGGAATAAGGTAATAAGGTAACGAAGTAGTATTGTGTTCTGGGTGAGAAATTTGAGAAGGGAGGTGGTTATATGATATTTGTATTTACCTCTCGAGGGAATAAAAAAGATAGACTCTAATTAGCCTCCAGTAACTCCACCACACTAATACCCTATCTCTCAAATTCTCAAATTCTCATATTCTCAGGTAAAGAGACTCATCCTATCAAGACACGGATTAACATCTCTTGAGTCTTGAGTAGTAAGGCGAGTGCGAGTAAATCTTACTTGCAGTTAGTAATTTGAGAAGTTAAGGATGTGAAAGAGGGGGATAGGGATAAGGGAAAGAGGTTTGGAGTACAGTGCTGGGTTGGGATGGGTTGGGATGGGATGGGTTGAATTATTAGATAGGTTGGGGAGTGTGTTGGATGAGTATGAATTGAGATTCTGATAAGTACTTGGAATTTGGGATGGGAACGTGGGCGTGGTTTTAGTGGCATGTTGAAAAGAGGTTATGAGGGGAGGGATTGAGCTAGAGTTCTTTTAAAAGATGTAAATGAGGCTTTGAGTCCTGGTTTCGAGTACTGGTTTTGATGTTCCGTGGCCTTGTGTTGATGCTAGGATGTTATTATGGTGGGTTGTTAGGAAAAGATGGTTGCTTCAACTCCTGATGTTACATTGCTAATAGCTTGATACAAGGTATGCGACCCCCCTTCGTTGACGCTAAGAAAGCAGTGCTCCGATCATCACGGTTATCATCTATCATCGAAACTTCACCCTTAACCTGGGACTTGCATATCGAACCTCTTCGTTGACGCTAAGAAAGCAGTGAAGGACATGCATGATGTAAGTATAAGAAGAAGATAGTAAACATTATTGTTTACTAAACTTTATCCTATACCTCCTTTCTCAACCCTAAGAAAGAAGTACTACCAATGAATACACATGATTACACACCTGCAGTACAGGAGATATTTACTTAGGACACATGAATAAATTGACAAGGCTTTGATAAGGCCCTCTTTTAACGCTAAGAAAGCAGTGAAAGTTCAGCAGCTCACTCTACCCTGTCCTTGCATATATAAACCAACTCCTTCATTGACGCTAAGAAAGCAGTGCTCTGCATCTTGGCGAATCCTTGAGGGACCCCTTGTTCGTTTTTTGATTAATGATATATCCAATTCCTTCGTTGAGGCTAAGAAGGCAATGAAATTTTAGCACATTAACACTAACACTAACCTTCAGAACCCTGTACTTACATACCTGAACCAACCCCTTCGTTAAGGCTAAGAAAGCAGTGCTCTCGATCCCCGATCTGCCCCGATCTGATCTGACCGAATCCTTGAGAGATCCCTTGTTCGTTTTTCGATCAACTGCATATCCAACTCCTTCGTTGAGGCTAGGAAAGCAGTGAAGTTGCGGCACCATGCCAATGCACAGCTTCCTAACACATATCCAACTCTTTCGTCAACGCTAAGAAAGCAGTGAAGCTGACTGGTGTTAGTAATATCTCACAGGAACTTCACAGCCCTGACACCCTGTACTTACATATCCAACCCCTTTATTAAGACTAAGAAAGTAGTAAACTTTTATCCGAGTAATTAACTTATACTTAATAAAGAAACACCTACAGATCCTAACCATCACCTGGTAGCTACGCGACTGTCATCTTACCTGCCTAATACAAAGCTAAATGCCTTTTACAATATGCTGCTCGCTACGCTATCACAGCCAAGAACCAGTAGAAAACACTAATATATAGCTTCTAAAGTACATGTAACAACTATCGCAGACATACGATTCGCTAAATAATAGATGAATATAGCTTGGCTACTTTGAGCAGGAAACCACCCACGAGCCTAAGGGGCGCTGCTCTCTACTGTATAACCATGTATATGTATATTCAATTCCTTCGTTGACGCTAAGGAAGCAGTGCTGGGGGGCGAAATTTGAAAAAAACCTATATCCGCCCCAGCGCCCCAGCCTTGCATATCCAACTCCTTCGTCGACGCTAAGAAAGCAGTGCTCCCTATCCCCATCGCCATCCTCATCCCCATCCCCACACCAACCTTACATACCCAACACCCCCATCAACACTAAGAAAGCAGTGATGTTCCCCTTTGTTCCCTATAACCATGTACTTGTATATCAACCACCTCCATCAACATCAAGAAAGCAGTGAAGTCCCCTGGCTCCTCTACACACGTTATGACTAAATTACTCGGGATCACTCCTATAATCACTTACTTGCTTACTTACTTATTATCACATACCTTATTATATTTACTAGTCCTTCCTCTATCCCCCCACCCCCCTTCTCCCTACGTAACTCCCAACTCTCTTCTTTGAGTACTTACCTGCTACTCACTACTCATCACTATCACCTATATATCCAGATTTCCAGATTTTCAGATTTTCAGAAATTTCCAAATCCTAACACCTACGAAAAGATTATTCCAAACACCCACATTTCCACAAAAAGACAACGTCAATAACAATGACGATGACGAGGTTCTCTTTAAATTCTTGTTAGTAGTTATACGTTAATTTGCAATACTGTAAGTAGGTAGCCAGCACCAGAAGAAGGGAAGAAAAGAGAAGTTTTAGTGTTTGTGTCAGTGTCAATGGAAGTAGACTGGATTATTAGAAAGTGAAAAGTTTTCATTCTTTTATTCATTCATTCATTTGTTTATTCATGAATGACATAGACAACAGATCCTCATATTCATCCTATAACTAGCTAGCCATAGCCATATCTTTTCGTAAAGAGTTCCTGTGCTAAACACCACCCACCCACCAACCACCCAACCAGCCAGCGAAAACGACAAGCAAAACTAGCAAACTGTCGAAGGCATACACCACAAAGCAAGTGCGATGAATCTCAGAAAACACAATAACACCACCCCATCCCAGTCCACCCACATCATTCGCCATATCACAAGAGAAAATTCTCGAAGAGGAACAAATACACGACCAACCTAAATCACTCTCCCCACCCCGTCCTCCGTGCCCTCAATCTGCATGCCCAACGCAGTAGGAACACCAATGAGAATCTTACCCTTAGGAACCCTCACATCTCTGACCCCAAAATTGCCAAAGACAGCCACACTCTCAATATTCGGACAAGATCGGAAAATCATCAGGACGACTAGATCATTGACCTGTTGACAGAAACTCAGATCCAACTTGCGTAACTCGGGGTAGGTTTTATCGGCGGCGAAAACACTTTCAAAAGCTTCACAGGAAATGTGTCGACAGGAGCTGACGTCTAGATATCGAAGGGTCTTCCCTGAATGTTTCATGAGAGCTTTGAAGCCGAGGGAGGAGAGTCCGATTCCGTCGGGGTTTTCTTTGGGTTCGGTGGAATCGACGACTCGGCATTTGTTGAAGTCGATATGGGTTAATGGAGGATTAGGCCAATCCGTGAAGAGGTTGGCGAAGCCTTGATCAGTGAGGACATGGTTGTCGGTGATGCGAAGTTTGGTGAGGCGTTGACAATTGTCGTGGATAGCCTGGAGGACGTCGTCATCGATATGATTGACGGTATCAAGACAGAAGCATTTTAGGTTGAGACCGGTAGCATTCAAAACTTCAACGTAGGGTTCGGATTTTGTCTTTCCACCGTAGATATTGAGAGTCAATCGTTCAAGTTTGGTGAGCTTGGAGAGATGGGCGATACCTGCACCTGTGACCTTTTGATTGTGGGAGACTTTGAGGACTTGCAAGTCAGGGCAAGTCTTTCCTAAGAGTTCCAATTGTTCATCACCAAAATGACCATCGGTCCAGTAGACTCGTAAAGTATGAAGATGAAATCCCTTTTCGGTCAGAAAACGATTCCATCTCTCATCGTCGATTAGATTAGCTCCATGAATGCTAAAGCTTTCGAGCTTAACAGTTGTATCCAGAAGATGGTCCATTACTCTATTCTTAAACTGAACTCCATCCTTGATGAGCAAGTTCTTGACGGTTGGGCTGTACTGGAAGACTCGAATATAGTCATCAGGCGTGAGAAGAGCACCTTCGTGAATGTTGACTGTTTCTGCACCAGCTCGAAGGAAGAGATTGAGAGTGTTTGAATTCATCAATCTTCGCTTAGAGATGATGCCAGAAAGTCTGTTGACCATGGTCTCTGGTAAATCTCCGAGATCTTCAGCCAAGTCAACATTCTTTGCCAAAGTCTCGATGCAAAGTGTCATTAGATCCTTGGCTCCAGGATAAATACCATCAAGCAAGTTGCTTTGAACTTGTCTTCGTTGTCGACCAACGGCGGTCTTTCTTCTCTTTCTCGCAGCACCTTCCTCCTTGTCAAGTTCCTTGGTACATTGTGGACAGAGGAGACCTCCATCGTCACCTTTTCTACTATATGCAGTGACACGAAATCGTTTGTCGCAGATCTCGCAGTTCTCCATCTGATATGGAAGGGGTGCCATGCTCTCTTCGAAAAAGGCCCGCGCTGCCTCGTCCTCGTCCGACACATTTTCATCCGAACCATGTTGACGTCTGCTGCGCTTGAATCTTTTTGAGTTTTTGATTTTGGAAATCGCTTTCTATTGGGCGGATTAGTAGTTATACAACAGAATGTACCCCGCGAATCAATGATAACGCGGCAGAGAGTGTCAAACATACCTCTTCCTCCTTCTTTCTTTTATTGGTCTGTGCCTTTGACTCTCTCTTTCTGCGAGAAGGTACGGGCTCCGGATCCGAATCTGGTTCAGCGGGCTCATTCTCGTCGTCGCCTGTGGTGCCAGCAGCAGCTTGCTCCGAGGCCAAGGCAGCAGCTCGTCGAGCGTTGGCATCGTGTCGAATTTGCTGGGCACTGATGTTGTGGGACTTGGAATGTATGTTAGGAAAGTATATTTGGACTGGAGTATCTAAACTTACGGCTAGGAAATCAGTCAAGGCTGATTGTCTGTGGAAGCAAGATATGTTAGTACTTAAGATGGCCCCGCCACAACCCTGCGGGAGATGGATACTTACGGTCCTCTGATCTGGCGAACAGCTCTCTGAGCTGGATTTGGGGGATTGTTGGACCTAGAAAGAGCGATGAGCAGGAATTGAGGATATATGGAAGTCTTGACTGTACATTTTGATGTCTTTCTCTTGGCCTAGGAAGGTTCGGATTCCAGAATGAGTGACTAGAGTCACGATCCTCGCAGCCCACTTGAAATCAAAGCAGAGGGGATGGAAATGAGAGAAGTTGAGTTGTGAGAAAACGATTCATCGCAGTCCGTTCCAGATATCCCAAAGAAGGAAAAGAGGAGCTAAGTCGGTGGTGTACAAGGTCCAATCCCCTTTTCCTTGTCGCATCAGTTTGACGCGATAGGAGAGTACAAAGTCCGAACCACCCAATGGATCTACCAATGGGAGGTGGCGAGGTGAAGTGGCTTTTGTCAGCAACGTCCGACCGACATAAAGCGGCATTGAATTCAGGTACCGTGAGAAAGAAAGATTGTACCTGCCAGGTACCACCACCACTACCAGGACACTTAAACTTTCATTGGACAGTGAATCGCCTCAGACAATGTTTGAGGTTGTATTAACCAGTACTTTTCTTCTTTCTTTTAGTATTATATTTTTCCTTATAAAAGGCATGTCACACAGGTCTTAGTTAAGAAGACATTGGTAGATGATTGTAGTCCCAGAGGCTCATTTCAATTGGTATCTGGTGGTATGGAGAAGTAGAGACATTGCCATCTGCAGGTGTGCCAAAACTGAACTTTTCCATTTGCCACCCAATCGCTCGCTGCCTCAAGAGAATCATTGTCACGTGTTTTCGCGTTCCTCGTCTGCAGGCATCTACACGCCAGGACCGCCGACACAGGGGAAGTTTCTTGGTGCATTGCCGCCACCACTTTCTTCTTCCACAAAGTACTGTTCCTTCAATTCTCCATTTCAGTCCTCGAGTAAATTTTCATAAAATCGTTCGTCGTTGTTCAGTACTATAACGCTCTTTGGTTGATCGCAAAGAATGCGAAATTGTTGAACATTTGACCCCACCATCCCCTTATCGCAAGGGTTGATCGCTGCCTCGTCGGAGGCGGAGCGTCATCTACATTCACCACCCGGCCTCCACCTCCACTCATCTTCGTCCTCAAATCCACCAACCCTTCAATCCCAATTCCACTCCCACGTCAATGAATTGACATTCCATCAACTTTTCCTTCCCATTTCCGCCCGTCATCTGGTCATCATCTCAACCTCATCGCCTCAACATCGTCCCTACAGAGTCTACTGGTCTCAACCAACCCAAGTAGATTAAGATGGCGCCTCGAGTTGCCAGCCGACAGAGGGGTCGTCCAAAGAATCCGACACAAGAAGCTGGTGCTCCTTCAAAACAAGCCTGTAAGTCATGCCACGCCACACTGAAAAGCAATCTCACATTAAATATCTGGTCGCATTTGTACCATCAATCAACCAACCTTCTGACAAACTTGAACACAGCAACGGGTACCCGACGATCCCTCCGAAATACTTCTCAAATTGATCTCTCCATCGCAAACACTCCAAAGCAAGGTTCAGTTGCACCCACCAACAATGGGGATGATGTATCTTCCACCGCAGAATTCCCAACTCTGGTGATGCTCACGAGCACAAAGACACAGCGACCAAATGATAGAAGCTCATCATCCTCCCTCTCGGCGTCGCGGGATTACAATGATAGCAGCGGTTATTCTACCCCGTTGACCAGTGCGGTAGCAACACCAGCCACTTTACCACAAGAAGCAACATCCTCTTCTGCTGGACCAAGCAAAACTGGAAGAGGACGTCGTACAAAGACACCTGTTTCCACTTCAGGAGTCAGCATGGTTGCAAAGGCAGCTGCTTTGCGCAACAGCCAGTATTCTCTCGCTAGCAAGCGAAAGCGGGTCCCTGATTCAGATGAGGAAGGCGTAAAGGATGACAATACCGCCGACGCTCAATTAGCTCGGGCCCTCCAGGAAAAGGAGGACGCTGCGGCTTCATCTATGGCTATGGATATTGATACCGTCCCAACTATCTCCAAGGCATCTGCTCGCCAAAATCCCCGGCGCAGAAAGAAACTTCAGAAAGTTCGTCCGGCGGCACCAGAGGTTATTCTTTCTTCCAAGGGCTCAAATGATGTTAGCTTCACTAGCAAGAAGTCAACTAAAAAGACCGAAACCATCGTTTTGGATTCAGACAGTGACGACTTGATGATTCTGGATGAATCCGACTATTCCTCGACCGATGATGAACTCCCGATCTCCAGATTCCCTCGTAAGAAGCAACCCACCAAGCTTTCAGGTTCTCGTCGTGGAGGGCTCGCGGCTCCTGCGCGTCCTGGTCCCGCACGTCTTGGTGCACAGTTTACAAAATTTAGGTCAGCGCAGAGGGAGCTTTTATCCCCATCCCCACTGTCAGATCTGACTCCCGTACCAACTGGCAATGTTTTTGATTCCGATTCTGATCTGCTGGATCCCTCCTCGATGGACTCTGATGATTTCGATTCAGACGATTCCTCTATTCCTTTGCGTCGTCGAGTCCACAACGCTCGTCACCGAATCAACCTCGCGGAAGACCGAGGGACACGCAGAAGTAGACTAGAGCGTAATCGCCTTGAGTCACACCATCCCGTACTACATACCATGTGGAAGGATCTTGAAAATCTTCCCAAAATTGGAGATGTCAAGATTGAACAACCAAAGAATATCAATCGTGAGCTAAAGCCGTTCCAGCTTCAAGGTGTGGGATGGATGAAAGCCATGGAAAAGACTGCATGGGGTGGTGGTCTACTTGGTGACGAGATGGGTATGGGTAAGACCATCCAAGCCGTATCTCTCATCATGTCGGACTTTCCTGCCAAACTGCCTTCATTAGTTCTCATTCCACCGGTTGCTCTTATGCAATGGCAACAAGAGATCGAGTCATACACAGATGGAACGCTGAAAACATTTGTTTACCACGGCACCAATAACAAGACGAAGGCAATCACCAAAGCAGAACTTGAAAAATACAATGTGATTCTCATGTCATACAACAGTTTGGAGTCAATGTATCGCAGACAAGTAAAGGGTGCCATGAGCAAGGGTGAGTTGAAAAAGCAGGCCAGCGTCATTCACCAAATTCACTTTCATCGTGTCATCCTTGACGAGGCACATAACATTAAGGTTGGTATCTATTCTTCTTCCCAGAGAGTGTATGCTGACCATGTTTTTCTTAGACACGAACCACAGGATCTGCCAAAGCATGTTTCGCATTAAATGCCAACCACAAATGGTGCTTGTCTGGTACCCCACTTCAAAACCGTATCGGCGAATTCTTTTCCTTGGTCCGATTTCTCAACATCCAACCGTTTGCTTGTTACTTCTGTAAACAATGTGATTGTGAACATTTGAATTGGGAGATGAACGAAGACAACCGCTGCGAACATTGTGGACACAGTGGCATGCAGCACGTATCGGTATTCAACCAAGAGCTTTTAACCCCAATTCAAAAGTTCGGCAACAACGGACCAGGTCAAGAAGCGTTCCGCAAGCTTCGAATCCTCACTGACAGATTTATGCTTCGACGAGTCAAGCGTGACCATTCCTCTGCTATGGAACTACCTGCCAAGGAGATTTACGTGGACCGACAATTCTTCGGGGAGGAAGAGAATGATTTTGCGGGTAGTATCATGAACAGTGGTACGCGCAAATTTGAGACATATGTTGCTCAGGGTGTTCTTCTCAACAATTATGCCAATATCTTCGGACTTATCATGCAGATGCGTCAAGTTGCGGATCATCCTGATTTGATCCTGAAAAAGAACGGCGAAGGTGGTCAAAATATACTTGTCTGTTGCATTTGTGATGAGACGGCCGAGGAGGCTATCAGATCCACGTGTAAACATGATTTCTGTAGGGAGTGTGTCAAGGTAAGTCTTCATATCTGTCTTTGATGAGCATATCAATACTGACTACGTTGCAGACTTATCTTCGATCTTCTGGTAAGTCTTCTGCGATGAACTGAAAAGTTACTATTTTGCATGTTTTGGGAATGAGTCTCCTGAAAAGCCCGACTCTTCCCAGCCATCCTGAATAATGCTGCTTATTTTCACCTTGCTAACTTTACCTAGATGAGCCAGACTGCCCACAATGCCATATACCACTGTCTATTGACCTCGAGCAACCAGAAATTGAACAAGACGAACAGCAGGTCAAGAAATCTTCGATCATTAATAGAATCAAGATGGAGAATTGGACTAGTAGCTCTAAAATCGAGACCTTGGTACATGATCTTTGGAAGGTGAGCTGATTTGCTTCTGCGCTTGGGAGATTCTTTCGCTAATACCATATCTTAAATAGCTTCGAAAACCAAACAGAACTACCAAGTCAATCATATTCTCGCAGTTTACGACAATGTTGCAGTTGGTAGAATGGCGACTTCGCCGCGCAGGTCTAACCACCGTCATGCTCGATGGATCTATGACTCCGGCTCAACGTCAAGCCTCCATCAATCATTGTATGAACTCTGCCCCTGCTCTAATAAAACATCTGCTAATTGCCTGTAGTCATGACTGATGTCAACGTCGAATGCTTCCTAGTCTCTCTGAAAGCTGGAGGTGTCGCTCTTAACTTGACCGAGGCATCCCACGTTTTCATCGTCGATCCTTGGTGGAACCCCGCCGCCGAATGGCAAAGTGCGGATCGCTGTCATCGTATCGGCCAAGCTAGACCATGTTCCATCACTCGACTTTGTATCGAAGATTCGGTTGAGAGTCGTATGGTTCTTTTGCAGGAGAAGAAGGCGAACATGATTAATTCAACAATCAATTCCGATGACGCCGCCATGCAGAATTTGTCACCGGAGGATATGCAGTTCTTGTTCCGTGGTAATTAGGGTTTGCTTGCGGTGGTGTAGTAGATGCTTTTGAGATTTGAGGGGTGGTTTCTGTTGTTTTTCTTTTTCTCTGAAAGTTACTGGGTGGTGCACAGATTGCTTGGTTGGTTGGTTGCTTTTGCTTGTGGTTTGCTGGACTATTTGAGGGGCTGTGGGATGGGGGGTTTGTGGTGTTTCATCAATGATCGGAGGATTTTTGAGGATACGTATGGGCGTAGTGGTGTGGATTAGTTTATTGCTGTTGCTTGAGCTGAACGGAAGGGAACTGAAATGAATTAAGCTGAGCAGAGCAGATTTGTAGATTTGTAGATTAATGAAATTAGTTGATATGAATGAAGTAATTGAATTCATATGATATAATATGGTATGGCATAAAGTATTATGGAATTAAATTCTTCTAAAAGGATTAGCTAAGTAAATTCAAAATATGAGGATAATAAGGAGCGTGGAATTATCAGTCCTACTTATTTTTTATTGGACTAGGTATACTACTTTGATTATCTTGATTATATTAGAGGGTTGGGATAACAATATTTTTTATAAAATGTTTGAAGAAGAATCGTAAAATAAGTGGTACTAGTTCACTTTCGATTAGCGTAAGTAAAGAGATTAAGTAAGAGTGGTAAATCGAAAGACTTTATTATTTCATAGGGAAGGACTAGGAATGGGAGAGGAGGATGGTACTATATAAGCTAGAGGAAACGTATCTAAGATTTATTAAGAGGTTTTCTATCTGTTTTAGAAGGATTTATACTGAAAGTAGTTTTGTATAGACTACTGGTTATGTAGGTATGATATTTGGTGGCTTTTATGTTTTTATTTGTATTATCAATTTTTAGAGGAGGATGAAGATAGGATAGAGATGGAGATGGAGATAGATATATCTTATTACTAAGCGGTTTTTTTGGTAGTATGTGAAGATATTCTTGATGATTAGGTAGAGGAGGGATGTTGTGGACTGTAGCTCTTTGTGAAATTGAAGTTCTTTTAGGTATTTTCTCTTTAATATCCAACTTTTATTAAGGTCTTAGGAAGAGTACTTGAAGTTTTAGTTTTATACGGATAAGAATGAATAAGGTTTTTATGTACTTTGGTTATCTTAGCACCCAGACCCTCTTTATAAAGGCTTTTGGTGGTAGGCTTTTACTCCCCC